ACAAATTTTCTAACTCTTCAAGGTCTATTTTTTAGATGAATAACCTTTAACACTGTTCAGACTTATTTGTTGATACAAGTCACATGAACAGGCTGAATAAAAGGATATTTCCCTTTGTTGCATTTAACTATTTCTTCTTCTTTAAAGAAGTGCTGATTCAGAAGAGAATAACTGCATTTAGGAAGATGATGACTTGCTACGTTTTTTTCTCCAGCAGTAAAAAAGCTCTAAAGCTTCTCTGAGTTTCTCTCCCTCTCAGCCTCTCTCACTCAGCTACTAATGAACGCCCGGTAGGTGGACGGGAGGCTGCGGGACAGAGTGGCGCATTATACTTTTAACAGACTGGAGAAGCAGAGTACGAGATCTGCCCAAACCACGCAGATAGAGTCAAAATGTTAAATGTGCGGAAGCAGAGTGCAAAAAACACCGAATAAAAGTCCTGAAAAGCAGCATGCTTACCAAACTAGGCAAAATTTGACCAAAAACAGATTAATTAACAGCAGTAACAAGTCCGAATTTAAGCTAGGTCAAACGACCCTCTGAACTTGATCACACGTGTTTAGAATTGGAAATGGATAAAAAAGCAAGAATTTCCATTAAAATACTTGTCTTACCTGCAATCAAAGGAACAGCATTATCCCGCTGTTTTTCTTTTGTCTCTTTACTGCCCCGGACTCCTGCAGCCTTTTCGGAGCCATGACTGTGCCCGCTGCATCCTCCGCAGGTGTACTGCTGGGGTGTGGGGTGGGGTGGGGGGACGGTGTGACACGGTCCATCTCCTTTACTTTTTGTATTGTTTTCTCTCTGTAAACATGCTGTTAACTTGCTTTGCACATCTTCTAATTGAAATCTGTCTTTATCATATTTATTATTTTTTCATAAGCTTGCGTTTGGTGCGCCTCCCCCCGCGTGGTGCCCTAAGCGCTGTGCGTGGTGTGCGTGTGTGGAGCGCCGGCGCTGTTTGTGAGTTTAGAAAAGAAACAGATGACAGCGTGTCCGACAATTTTGTTTTTCGTCTGACAATATTAGGAGCTGTCAGTGATGTCTGAGATGCTTTTACAAACACTGTATAACTTCTGGGGAGCCCAGTTATAGGGGTGAGGGGTGTTCTGTTTTGCCTTGGCCCCCCAAAATGCCTTGAAACGGCCCTGGGTTTGTCTGAGTTTTGAAGGTGATCTGAATTGTATCAGATGTATAAATATTACATGTGTGTAACTTATTGTTTTGTACAGGTAAAAACGTGTAGTGGGGATAAACCTATCTACATTTTACTTTTCAGCACTTTGCTTTGTTTTCTTGTTTTTATTGAACTATTTCCTGTCCTGCCTGTCTCTCATCTTCCTGCATCTCCTCTAAACTCTCCAGAAAAACTGCTGCCTGGATTCTTACTTTTTCACCTCATCAGTTACTTTTGAACTAAGCAGATCAAAGGAATCTCCTGACCGCAAAGCGTAGTGCGCGTTTCGATGCTGTGTCAGTGAGGTGAAATCACCGCATCACACGATGAGTGGAGTGCGTCAGGAACGATTAAAAGACAGAATACCAGAGGGTTTAAACAGATGCGAATGATCATGTGTTAATAATAATTTTTTGTTGCGCCACTTTGTGAATGTATCGTGGGCCGGACGCAGCGCGCGCACCAACGATCAGCACTCTGCGTCCTCTCCGCTCAACAGAATCCCGCTACGCTGAGAGTCCATAAATATTGTAATAATGGTAGAAAATGGATCTTTCCCTGAAAGATATAGACCCCATAAGTCGATCCCTGCTCCTGGATGAAAAACAGGACACTTTATTCCATGTAGGAAACCCTACCGGACGTCCCGGACAGAGAGTGAAAAGTGGACATGTCCGGGGTAAAGAGGACGTATGGTCACCCTATTTAATACGTCATTCTGTGGAGCTGTTCTGATCTGATGGATCACCACAAAAGCCTGAGAGATGGTGGACAGAATCAGCCCAGACTCACAGTTGAAGTTCAGGGGAAGGGCAGAAACATGGAGACACAATATAAATTGTTATCACATTTTTGGCTGTTTCCCTTTGGTTATTCCTTCAACACAGTATTTTGCAAATGCAAAGGACTTCACATCTTTTTTAGGCCATGTTTAACTGTTATGAATCCTGGGCTCCTGCACCTTGAATGTCCCAGTCCTGCTCCCTCCATGCCATTCAGGACCTTGGACGGGTCCTCGTCAGGCTGGCCTCCACCTCTGCCCGCCTTCGCTGTCCCAGCTGCATACAATCAACTAATGAAGACCGATGGTTTAAAGGACTGCAGCTTTCAGTTCTCGTGGAGAGACTCACAGCTAAACACCCTGTATTTCTCTCCTCGGTGTGGATCTTTGTGGACTTACGTTTTCGAATTGGATAAAGAACTTTTATGATTGTGATAATTAAAATAGATAGTTCTTTTCATTTAATCCTCGAATAATTATTAGCTATTTTCGTTTAGTGATCCATGTTTCGTCTGCTCTAGTGCTTGAATTTCAGTTCTTTTCAGCCTTAGAGCTCTCTTTAAGTTTTGCTAGTAGTAATAATATTTATCATAGTTATAGCCATCGAGATTTGTTTTAGTTAGCTAGCTCCGGCATGTTTTTTCTTTAGTACCGATATTCTCGTATTTTCTTCCCTGAGACCGTTTGTCTCAGTTGTTTTGAGTTTTCTCCATCGCCTTCGTTAGTTATATCCCAGTGTAATTGCGTTTTGACATTTTTCCAGTCAAGGACTGAGTAATTGTGTTAGCCCTGTGTTAATAAAAATACATTTTATTTACACTCCCCCTTTGTCCGCACCAGTTTTTATGTTACCCCTCTTCCACAATGTCTAACAACATCAGGGTTTTTAACATTAACCCTGAAGTTTCCATTGATATTAACTAGGCCCTATCAAAATAAAAATGTTTTAAGTCTAGTCTTAAAAGTAGACAAGAAGTGTGCCTCAAGGACTAAAGCTGGGAGCTGCTTAACGACAGGAGAGGAGCCTGATGGCTAAAAGATCTGCCTCCCATCCTATTTTTAGATATTCTGGGAACCACCAGTAAACCTGCAGTCTGAGGGAGAAGTGCTCGGTTAGGAACGTATGGAACAATCAGGTCACTGATGTATGACGGACCTTGATTATTAAGAGCTTTATATGTGAGAAGGAGGATCTTAAAATCTATTCTGAATTAAACAGGCAGCCAATGTAGGGAAGCTAAGACAGGAGAGATATGATCTCTCTTTTTAATTCTCATCAGAAGTCCTGCTGCAGCATTTTGGACAAGCTGAATACTTTTAACTACATTCTGTGGACTTCCTGAGAGTAATGAATTACTGTAATCCAGTCTTGATGTAATAAGTGCATGAACTAGTTTTTCAGCATCACTCCTGGAAAGGATGCTTCTAATCTTAACAATATTCCGAAGGTGGAAAAAGGAAATCCTACAAACCAATTTAACGTGAGATTTGAATGACATGTCCTTATCGAAGAGACCACACACACACACACACACACACACACACACACACACACACACACACAGGTGACTTAATGACCATGTGTTTTACATGTTTAAAACACTTTATTATGTACACATTTTGAGAAAAGGTTGCAGGAAACACATTTTCATAGATTAACAATATTAATATAAAAACAGGCATTAAACAAGAAATATGACTCACACACACACGAGTCATGTTTTTATCTGAATTTTGTTACGATAAAAACAGAATTCAATACCAAAAGACAATCTTGAAGAATAGAGGAAACATCAGCTTGAGGAAAATTCCAGAGGAAAAACATGACAATGTGTTTATTTCCAGTCTACACTAAGCAGATCATTTCAGAACATTAATATAAAAATAATAATATTCTTATTTCTATGCTGAAGGATTGTTGCCTTATTGTTCAGTGTTATTGATCACTGCAGCTGTGAGAGAAGAGCTCCACAATCATCCAGCCTGTCCAGCTCCTCCACCACCTCCACCAGTCGCTCCACCTTCTCTGATGGCAGCACCACCTCTGCGTTGCTTCTGAACTTCTTCCTCAGGCTCTCGTTTGTCAGCGGGTTGCGCCAGTGGCCGTAGAAGGTGTCACAGCGGCCCTTCAGGATGTCTCCTCCAACTAGAGTCACCTGGACTTCTCCGTACATGCGGTTGAAATTGGCGGGGTTGTCCTCAGGATGCTCCATGCGAACACGGCTCAGCAGGAAGTGCAGCTCTGGGCGGCTCATGGCGGGCGGGCTGAAGGACTGCACGGTCACCTCACCGTCCAGCAGAGCGCTGCAGGCGTTAAACTGGAAGGAGTGGCGTGCCTCGTGCTCTGACTCGGGAAAAGGCCTGTTGATGTATTTAGACTGGGGGACTCTGAGCAGGATGTCCTGGACCTGATGTGGGGACACCTGTCCTAGACCATGTCCCACAAGGAGCTCATGGACTGCAGCTGCAGCATCAGCTACCCAGTGCATCCCCAGATGGGCAGGAAAACGCTTAAAAGCCATGTCCTGCTCCTCTAACAGGAACACATGTCCACCATCATCAGGTGACTCTAAAGGCTGAGGAACATAATCTTCATAAAAGGCGCTGAAGCCCGCCACTCCTGCAACAGCATCCAAGACCAGAGGACTGGCCTCTAGGCCTCTGGAGGCCAGCAGAGCAGCTTCAAGCCCCAAACGAGAGGCGTTGCCGATGTGAAGGGGCTTGGACTGAGTGGCAGCATTAGCCATCGGAGCTCCTGCTAGAGAAGCTGCTATAGCCAAGGCATGACTGCACTGAGACGGATCCAGAGATAGGAGACGAGAACAGGCTGCTGCACTTCCCATAGGACCCACCACAGTGGGAGGATGGAACCTGTTCACACACACACACACACACACACACACACAGACACACACACACACACACACACACACACAGTTCAGTTAGGACATTTATTCTGTTGTGACTGAAACAATCACTGATCTGCATCACCACTTAAGAACGTTTCTATTGGTTGAATCTTTAGAACAAGATGAATTGATTTGACTCGTTTCAGGTCACCTGAGTTTCTAAAACACCCACCAGATGAAGGGTTTGGTTTGTGCTAATTCTGTTAACGTTACACCAAGAGCCCCTGCTGTTCCTACAGTAAGCATCATTACACTGACATCACTAAAACGGCCTCTTACACCTCAGTGCTGAGATCAGCACAGTCAAACAAGGACGTCTTTAAACGAACGTGTTCATGAAGATCGTGCTAAAACCAGACTTTCTGGTTCAAGCTTGACTTGTGCTGTGAGGCACTGACCTCTTGGGAATGCAGCGTGCTTCATTAGAGAACCTCATCAGACGGCCCTGGATCTCAATGCCGACATTGAAGGCCAGTAAGAAGTCCAGACCGCTTGGTTTGCTGTTAGCCGGCATCATGTCACTGAGAGCAAACAAAGCTGGGAGAACAGCTCCTGAGGGATGAGTGGCTGGATGCCACGTGTCGTCAAAGTCCATGGAATGAGTCTGGAAGCAACCAGAGTTTGTGTCTCATCATACTGAAGCTGAAAGGAGTCAGAATAATAACTTTTTCTGTGAGGGTAATAACTAGATCAGAACCCAGCTATGTCTATATCCTAACCCTGTGGTCTTTGGGAGCCACGCTGCACCAACAGCTGAGAAAAGCTGTTTATACAAAATGTTTCCACTGATGTTTATGTGGTTATTTATATATGGTTGTTTTCCACTTATGTTTCTCACCGCTACTCCATTAACGAAAGCTGCCAGTGTTGGGGAGAGTCTGATCCCTCTGCGTCCGTACACAGAGCTGATGTGATCCGGAGCATACATGTGCTAAGAACAAACACAGAAACAACCCTACATTCACTCATCTGTTCTGGACATATTTGGGTTGGACCTGACTCAGACTTTCACTTTGCCTCACCTGGCAGAACTGAAGAGCCAGCTCAAACACATCTGTCCTGCTCCCTATCAGTCCGACCCCGATGCTGTCCAGCACCATCCTTTTGCTGCGATGGAGCACAACCGGAGACAAATGCTGAGGCTTTATTTCACTGATGAACTTCCCAAAACTGGCTGTGACCGTATCTTCTGGGGCTGGGTGCTTCTGGACTGCAGGAATGAAAAGATAAAAGTTGTTTAATAAAGGTTATTAATTAAGGTTATTATTATTATTTTTAATCAAAGTCAGCATATCTGTTTACCCTCCACTGCAGTGTTATGCAGTCTTCTGGCAGCCCGCACTGGTCTGATGGTTTTCTTTGGGACAAAACATAAATCAGAACAAAGCATTTCAGTTATTTTTCACATCTCAGGATGACTACAGGCTGATGAGTTCCTGCATTTACTTGTTCACGTCTTTAATCTAATGTTTGTGTTTGAAAGAGCCAGTGTAGAGGTGTAACAGGTGTTTCCCAGCATGAGTGTTCTCCTCAACAATTAGCAGGAGTTATTTTATAGTTCCCTGCCTTGGCCGCACTACAAACCTCTACTTTTAGATATTTTTATGACTTCTTTATTTGAAAAGGACTTAAAACCATCACTTTTAGAGTCTGAAAACTGACTAAAAGCATAAATATGTGTGTAATCTTACCTGTAGCGTGGAGAACATGACTTCAACTTTCTGTCACAATGATCTTGTTTCTTGTTTCTCTTGGATGCAGCAGCTGAGCAGTGAAGGATGCTGATGCTTTTGTGGCTGAAAATCCACCTGCCTTATATAGTCCAGGACTTACAATGACCGGAAACACCAAAGGAGCAGGAAGGGCAGGTTCCTTTTGCAATCCTGTATCACATCAGAATGAGGCTTTTCCACCCGGGTCATTATCTGTGGTGTAACGTTCACCATCATCAATAGCCTTGAGGGGGAGGAAGGAGAAAGAAGGAGGAAAAGCCACTTTTGTGTAAAGTGAAAGGCAGTGATGTCACCTGTAAGTATGCTGCTGTGTGACAGAGTGGGGAATTCTCAGTAACTCCTCCTTTACACAAACAGATCATATTTAAGGCAAACCTTCGTCCCTCCTTCAGCACAACTCAGCTTTCCATCAGTCTGAACAACTTCAACAGGTAAAACGTTGTTCTTTCTTTTACTGCCGACAGGAGTAAATATTTTGTTTCTGCATGTCACCCATCAAAAATCCTTAAACCTAAAGCTAGATTATTATATACTCTGCTTTGTAGATTGAATCAGACCTAAATCTGCATAAAGGATGCTCCCTGACAAGAGTTTATTTATAAATATTAAAACTATTATTGCAATATCCTGTAGTTTTTCAACAACATGAAAATAACAGTAATGTTAGGGGTATTATTCTATTGATAAAATTGTTTTCATTTAGAATAAATTTTTCCTCTTCAGAGAGCCTGTTAGAGGAGCGTCGTAATAAATGACTTTTAAATTAGTTACATGACAAGAGTGGCTCAGCCTACTTATGACAGGCAAGGACCGTTTTATATTATATTATATTATATAATATTATATTATATTATATTATATTATATTATATTATGCTCAATCTTTCATTGGTTCCTTTTAAAATTCATATATTAATGTTGTTGTTGACGATTACCATTTTAGACTTTTATCATATGTTTGGATTGTCTACAGAAACACCATGACAGCAGACGGGTTTCCTGCCAGTTTCTATGGAGAACCAGGAGTATTAGGAATGTTATCACTCCAGGCAGCCTATGGATTCACAGCTGGAAGCGTTGCTTTACTGGTCAATAATGCCTTCCTCATGCTGATTGGTAAGGTCTAGTATCTGCTTTCAGCGCTGGAATTCACAGTTTTTATTGATTCATAATTTTGTACTTTTGTTTCTTCTATTAGCTGCTTATAGGAACGTGGTTCTGTTGTTTCTAACAACAATCATGGAGGTTGTTCTTGTCTGCTTCCTTCTCTCCACCCTGCACAGACTTCCATACCAACTTGAAAGTGAGTTAAAACCGCCTGTTATAAACTTTATGTATTTACGATACTGACTCTCATCAGAACAAATAAAGTCTAACATCCAGAAACGATGTATTGCAGTTGCCATGCTTGCATTGGTATCCATCATTTGCTTTTATGGCACCTTGGCTTCACTGATGAACTGCATCTTCTCACAAAGAGTCATCCCAATGGGTCCTCCCATAATAAAGGTAATGACTGAAGTTTAGATTGGCCTACCTTTAAGAATCAGCGTGAATAATTAATAAAAATGTGTGTGTGTTTTGTTTTAGGAACAAGTGAAACAGGAAGCTTGTGACGAGCCGTCCTGTCCGGTGGCTAGCTCGCGTCTCACCAGCGGTCTGTTGAAGATAGCTCGACTTCTCGAGGACGGGGGTGTGTGTGGTATTCCCACAGATACTGTGTACGCTCTGGCTGCTTCCTGCAAGAATCCTCAGGCGATAGAAAAAATCTACAACATTAAAGTAAGAAGATAGAGGAGGCTTGTTTAACAGCAATATATATTTTCATGAAGTCACCATCTTGTTGAATTGGACCTTTTGCAGGACAGACCTGCAGAGAAGCCTATATGCATTTGCATCTCCAGTGTGGAACAGCTGGTTGCAGCCAGGCCTCCTTTCAGCCCTCTGCTGTGGGAGTTCATGAGGAATGTGTATCCTGGAGGCATCAGCTGCATTGTCAGCAAAGGAGACTGGCTTTACAGACTAGGTCAGCAGTGTAGAGTGTTTGAATGTTGAGTGGCAGAATTCTGTATCAGTATTCAGTTTTTACGTGAACTTTAACCTCATTTCTGTAGGAGTTGGACCTGCTTATGACCGTGTTGGTACCAGAGACAGCATCATGATCCGTGTCCCAGACCACACTGTGACCTGCCACCTATGTGACATCACTGGACCCCTGGCCATAACATCAGCCAATCCCAGTGGAGAATCAGACAGCACCCACCACAGCATGGTCATTAAGTAAGAGTCTCCTCAAAGAAGTTTAATGCAAACTAACAAACAACACATCTCTAAAACTTTTAGCACCATGCACTAATTACTGTTTCAAACTGCTTCTTTTGCTGCAGTCGACTGGGACACAAGATCCAAGGAGTACTTTGTGATGGTGACTCGAATGAAGTAGTTGCTTCAACTGTGGTCAACTGCCTGAGGATTAATGAAGGTAAGGGGCCATGATTTCTTCCTACTGGGGCTGTTTAAGGTCAAGTTTCTAACTGAAGCTCTTCTAACCTTCGTTCAGGAGTCATCACCATTGTGAGAGAAGGCTGTGTCCCTGCTATCAAAGTCCAGCAGATCTTTGACAGACTGAAGAACTCCATGATTTGAGTGTCTCTTAGCGAAGACTGTCTACCTGGCTGATCACGTTCAAGTCAACTTGTCTAACCCAAGCTGTGCTTTGCTTTTCATACTGACAAACAGCAAAAGAGGGAAAAGAAAACTAAAGATGTGTGTTTATATGGATGTAACTTTTGTGTCTTAGTGGATGCATAGATAGATAGCTAATTCAAAAGTCATCTTAAACTGCATGAAGTCCACAATGTTTTGCATTATTTATATAATTATTGTTATATTTATTTTCAAAATATATCAACACAAACACTTTGAATGTGTAAATAAGTATTTATGTTTTTTTAATTTATAATGTTTGAACTCATTGTAAAACAGAATGTCTTTGTGTGGTTTCTGCATTGAAGCTCTCTCGTGCATTAATTTGTTTGTGCAATAAAACAACTAAAGTTTATTAAGGCTTGCATCTTTAAATAATTACTAAATGTTTTCTAGATGAATGCATTCTCTCCCTCAATACATCTTTATTCAGATCTTCAGATAAAACAATAACAACAATGGTGTTTAAAAGCTTGACAGAAATAGATATATTTTTGAACAATTACTAATTAAGCACTTGAAAGCATCTAGTTTTTTGTCAGAGGTCATTAGAAGCTCAAGAACTCTGAAACAATTCAACCATCTAATTTTATTATGAGCTCTTTAAATATGGGGATCCCTTGTTTAATCAATACATTTGCAGTGGTCTCTAGTAGTAATGAAGGCCTTGTAAGTCGTACTCTGGGGAAACAGAGCTCAGGAACAGTTTCAGGAAGTAGAAATGAGCCACATCAGAGTTTAGGATTGGCCTGAAGTAGCTAATGCTAACGGTTAGCTTAGACTGTTGGACACATTGTCTGCTGTTTCCTGGACCCTAAACCAACAACAGCCTTCCCTGTCGTGAGTCAAGATAGACGAGTCCAGGAATGCTACGCGGCATTCTCTCTCTCTCTCTCTCTCTCTCTCTCTCTCTCTCTCTCTCTCTCTCTCTCTCTCTCTCTCTCTCTCTCTCTCTATATATATATATATATATATATATATATATATATATATATATATATATATATATATATATATATATATATATATATATGTATATATAATCTTTTCTTTTCTTTCTTTGAATATATATATTCACTTCTTTTCCGGCAGTCACAGAGAACAGACGCTTCTCTTTTTGCTCCCTTATCTTTTTTCCCAAGGCTCTTTGTCCTGTCTACCCACAGAGCGCTTGTATGCACTTCTTCTTAAAAACCCTATTTTTTAGGAATGAATTTGATAAATTGGTCATTCA